CACAATGTTATATGTTTTTCCATTCGGGTAAAGAATGTGGAGATTCTGGGCATTTGACACAGGCGAACATGCTACATACGGCTGAGCATGAGAGAAGCACGGTTTTTCTAAGTTGACCCCTGCTACTTGTAACGTTTGCCCTTGCGCTTTATTAATTGTCATTGCAAAACTGAGCTTAGTAGGGAACTGCAACCTTTTGAATTGAAAAGGACGATCTGTGGAAATTATAGGGATCCCTGTTGTAATAACATTTTCACCTTTTCCTACGCCTACAAAAATTGTAGCGCCGATTATGTTCCGTCCAAGACGTGTCACACGCAGCCTTGTACCATTACATAACCGAGGAGCATCTAAATTTCGCATTAGCATGACTGGGACGCCTAATTTTAATTGAAGGTTATGTGAGGGCACACCTGACAACTCTAGAGAATTAAGAAACTCTACGGGATATGAAGTGCTCTGTCAGGGTATCCATAACTGTGTCTACTGACAAATACTCTGTTATTTCTACTGCTACTTCGCTAAATATATCTGAATTTATTTTGTTAACGCTCTCATTTTTTGGTGTAAGAATCGCATACATGTTGTTAGTTAAATCTGAATAAACGCTCGCAATTAATTCGGAATGACTCTGTACTAAATTACAAAAATCTCTCGTCAATTTAACGCAGCCCTCAGCATCCGTTTCCAACCGCCCATCGCCAATTTTTTATAGTGTGTCAGCATAGTTTCCAGCAGTGATATCATTATACAAATGCACTCTCATATGCGTAGTTAAACTGAATTTTGTCACCTTGTTCCATAAAATAGACGACTTGAGGTATGCTTTAACTTCATCTGGAGGTGTGCTCTTTTGAATGACAGGTAAAGTTTGGTGAAAGTCACCAGCCAGTAAAACCAAGTTCGGGAAGCAAGCGGGGCACAAATTCGGCTACTTGCTGCTGCAAAGATGGTATATCGTAGTTTGTTTCACGTATAATTTCATCACTTAGTTCATTTTCGGTTTCATTGTCATGTCATTTCCTCACGATGCTTTTCTTCACCACCGAGCACGTGATAAATCAGCACTTAATAAATCACACTAAATAAATAGCACGTGATAAATCAGCACTAAAACAGCAAATAACAATTTCAATGGTGCAGCGGGGATCGAACGTGGTTTGCTCGTGTACTGTGAAATTTACAGCGAGCGCTAACCATCTGAGCTACCACGGCTTTAAGTGATTTGCAATTGGTGTCAAAGTTGGGTAATTAAAGTGTCAATTTTGGTAATTCAATCGGCATTTTTCATTGTCACGAAGCCAATATTTGACTATTCCCGGTCCATCAGCACAATATCAGACTTATTCGCAAGGATAGTCTCGTTTGTGATCACGATCCCAGTAGAGCCAAACTCGGTGATTTTCAAGCACGGCTTCCGGCAAATACTTGTAATACGGCAATTTCTGGTCCAAGAAACCGTATTTCGGGGCGAGCCCCTGGTGTGGATTTCTGGCTACTAGGTTGGTTTACGATAGTTGTTGATCTTAATAACCTGATCCTGTATCGCACAGACAAAACCATTGGTTTCTCCAAAGAGGTCACCAAAACGTAGCCAGTGGAGAGGGGCAACTGTGTCTACGTAAGGCTCATGTAGAGCCTTGTAGAACCTCCCGTGGAGCTCCTTCTCTTTCCATAAGTTCTCCCAGTCAGAAATGCCGGGTCTTGCCATTGCCCGTCGGGTAAGAATAGAGAGGTAAGCCATTTATCACAAGAAATGACGTCACTATTGAATAGATCATCCGATCTTGTCAGAAAGTGGTTACGGAGGCTGCACACTTCGTGATTGTGCATGGAAGCGCACTTAAAAAGCCAATTGTGCTGAGGACGTGTGCTTCAAAGTTGGCACCGGTTCTGACGCGCCTTTTTCGGTACACCTACTTCCTAGGCGTAGTCCAAAAATCATGGAAGACGGCTTTCATCCACTCGATCCCTAAAAAAGGCAACCGTCCTGTATATATCGCCATCACCTAGTTCTCCAAAATAATGGAATCCATTATAAACAGCCAGCTCATGCGATATCTTAAGGATCACCAGCTGATTAGTGACCGCCAGTACGGTTATCGTCGGGGTCGATCAGCTGGTAATCTTCTGGTCTACCCGACTCATAGATGGGCGGAAGCAGTAGAGTCCAAGGGGGGGGGGGGCATTGGCCATTAATTTGGATATTGCGAAGGCCTTGGATCGGGTTTGGCACAAAGCGCTTCTTTCGAAGCTCTCTTCCTATGGGTTTCCCGAGAAATTGTGCAATTGCATCACCAGCTTTCTTGCAGATCGGAGCATCAAGGTCGTTGTAGACGGTGCATGCTCCGTTTACAAGCCTGTTAATGATGGCGTTTCACAAAGCTGTGTGCTATCACCAACGCTGTTGCTTCTGCATATCAATTTGCGAAAGGCTGTTAGGCACTTTGGGCAAACGTGCATAAAACACAACGCAAACTAACTGTTTTATACCAGCCTCTTCGATACCGATGTTCTATGACATATCCAGGTATCGGTATATTTCAGCCTCGGAAAGGGTCCTTAAGTTGACAGACAAAGATAAGTCTATGTCCTCAAAGTTAGCAACCCTTACTCTTTCAACATGGAGCTAAAACTTGCTAAAATCACAAGTGATGTTCAGCAATTCTACAAGATGGGAGCGACTGGAGGCGAATAACTTGAAGTCAACTATATAGAAAAAGACAGTCGATACTAAGCTTTCTCGCTGCTGCAGGCTGCTGGGTGGTCTTGCAGCCCGCGCTCAGCTGGCGGCCCACATCCTGTCGCGTCCAGTACGAGCGTCAGACGCGCGCAGGCGACTTCTACTAGGCAGCAACCTTTTGCGCACTATTTTCTTGTCCATCACCCATAAATTGGGCGTCACTTAACGGAAGACGCCCAGACCCGGTACCATATTATGTGTTATTAATGTGAATTTTTATACTTTTTCTTCCAATTTTGCTCTTGCCTGGTGTTGGCTTACCAATACTGTACTATTTACTAATATTGGTACTTTTTTAATAAGAAGAGGTATATTTTTATTTAATAAATCATTTTTGCAGTTTTCCTGGAGATCTAAACATAAAAAATATAAATAGTTGCGCAACATAATTGCTACATCTGCGAATTCACCGCCGTCGCAGAATGTAAATACGACACGCGGTAATCGTAATAGTAGTCATATTTCACCGATGATTGCGACTCCGTCACGCGATATCGTCTGTCAGCGGGTGAAACTAGGGCGACCTCGGTCGTCATTGCATCACCACTTGACTGAACCCTTGAGTACTCCTCCGCCGAAGCCAACCTGTCAACAAGGAAAGACGTTTGCGGATGTTGCTCGAAAATCTTCGCAACCCTCATGTGGTCGAAAACAAAAGAATGTGGATGCAAAATCAGTTCCTGTGGTGACCCAAACCAAGAAAGAGAATGACGGGTTTACTCTTGTTGAGAAGAGACGTCGGCCGAGACCCGTCTGTAACCAGCGTGGGACCGCCAAAATAAACGCAAGTACAACTCTGCGTATTGTGGAGCCCACTATACAGCTCTACATTCCCGTTTGGACAAAAGTACATCGGGAGAAGACGTCCTGCGTTTCGTGGAAGAACGAAGCCGATGCCGCATAGGGGATCCGATCTCTTTACATTTGCAGCGTCTGGAGTCTAAGAGGTCCACGAACTTCAAATCCTACGTACTCCAGGTCCTGCAAAATACAAAGAGACATTCCTTGCTCCCGATTTCTGGCCCTCTGGGGTAGTGTTTCGCCGATACAGGGACGCGCCAAAGAAGAAAGTTCCCTAAATAGTGTTATGTTTATATTTTATATATATTTTTAGGTTAAGTTATATATTACTATGGGCCTGTTCTTAATTTTTAAGTCCTTGATGCCTGAAATAAAGAAATAAATAAATATAAATAGAAGCCACAGAAGACTTAATTAATATTTTTAGACTGAATTTTTATCCATATAACATAAAAAATAATTGAAGGACAATGCAATTCCACGTAAAAAATTGTTAACATAACATTAGCACCAGTGAGTGTGATCCTGTGAAAAGGATTAATTCAACGTCTGAGAATGTGATAGCTCAAAAAAACGAGGCTACAAATGACAGCACTGAGGAAGTAGAAGATATAAGTTCAAAACGTGGATATGTGACGTAAAACCACGTTTTGCGCTTATATCTAAGCTTATATCTATTATAAAATAATTAAAGACTGTAATAACTGTTTCCCGAAATTATTAAACCAAATGGAATATCCTATAAGAAATCATAAGTATAATATATGTTTGAAAAATATATCATTCATTCATTGTTCATTATTCGATATCATTACTTGTTGAAAATTTGAATTGCTAAAAATATCAAACGTGAATTGTGTAACAAATATAATTTTTCCAAGGTAAATGAAAAAACTTTTTAAAATTATTTTATAGAAAATATGAACAACGTCCTTTGAAAACTGTCAGCAAACACGAAAGTCAACAAATGTCTACTAGAAAACTTTACAAATAACTATAACATAAATTTTTAATAAATTTTATTGGATTTTTTATAGGAGAGCAAACGAGAATACGGTTCACCTGATGTTAGGTAAATACCACCGCCCATGAAAAACTACAACACCAGGGGAATTGCAGGTGCGTTGCCGGCCGTTTAGAAAGGAGTAAGTTCTTTTCTTGAAGGTTCCTTGGTCGTATCGCTCCGGAAAAATCGCTGGCGGTAAATTATTCCACAGAGAGGTCGTAAGCGGAAGAAAACTGAAAATTCTGTTCTGTAAACGAGACATTCCATCTTAGTCGTCAAGGGTTACAACGCATTTGCATTTTGATTCTTAATTGAGGGTAGATGTGGCTGTGTATGGGCCCCAGCAACCACTTATCATCAGGTGGACTGTGTGCTCGTATACCACACCCATTCTATAAAAAGAAAACTTATTCCCACCTATATAATTTCCACTGCCCATCATCGACATACACTTTTATATTTAACTTCTCGTGTATTTGGTTGCAGATAAATTCGTGTGTGTAATTAGCATACACATATATAGCTACGGCATAATTTTCGCCCTTCTTCAACCATTTATCGATTTCCTTAATAACCTCATGAACTGTATGGCTTCTCTTCGGAAAATTCTCGTATCCTTCCTGGTTAAATTCCGTGTCCACATACATCGCGTCGATGTTTATCGGATTGCCATTTGGCTCGTGCAGATTTGCGTCTTTCTCGATATCACTAATTCTGCAATGAGAATAAACGATATCTACATCAGAAAACAATCCATGTACATACCAACTTAAATCTAAAGTTATGCTACGATAGTTGCTAAAAGGACGGAAAATCTTTTAAAAATCACTCAACAGTCATTAAATATATAAAAAATCGAGTAAATAAAGACACACACACGCTCGTAGTGAAACAATGGGTGATGTTTACCACATGCTTAATACTTATTGTGACGGTGTGAGATCATATCTACGATATTTTGAACAATTAAAATGCATTGATAAAATTAAAGTTAAATTACATTCTATTCAAATCTATATCTATACATATAATAAAAATGTAAATTGCAGATGCCTGTACATTTTACAAAGTACACGTACAGTAACAAAGGATTCAAATATATACGAGTGATCAAACCATTATTTAAGTACTCGAGAAATCATAAATGTAGTGCAAAAAGTCTTCCAAAGGGAGAAGGAGTTGATACTTTTAAAAGAAGTTAAAAAGATACTGACTTGGTTTACTGGAACGATCCAAACGAGTTAGTGGAACGATTTAAATTACTACTCGGATCATGCGCAGCTGGTAACACAGGGGTTTATAATAAAATTTATGCAATAATCGAAAAAATTCATGTAGCTGGCATCATAAAAGACATTAAATATATTAAGCTGCCTACAGGAGGATTACGCAGTACCATTTCATTACAGAAGCCGATAAGACGGCAATGAATACAAATAAATTTTAACAAGATATTTGTAAGCGTTTGCGACTATCTGAATGCTCTTTTATTCTCAGTGATACTTTAGTAAAAACAAACGCAGGTGATTTTGATTTGAAATCAAAAATATTAAACGGACTGCAATCTCCTGAAAAAGACGATGAGGCTGTTAATAAAGAATATGTGGATAAATGTGTACAAGAATGTAAAAATGAAATGAAAACAATTGAGGATAATATTAAAAAGTACTGTAACAATTTAGAAAAATTGACTACTATCGATTTCAGGACATTGTATTAACACGAAAAAGGATACTGACCCCATGATTGCAGCGAAACCTACACAAAAGTAAACAGGATATTGTCAATGAGCTTCACAAAAAAGCAAGAAAAATTAGTCTCGTCAACATATTACGATTATTAAAGGAATAAATGAATTTTGGGAAGCTGACCTGATTGATTTTCAAAAATATTCAATCAAAAATCGATTCTTTATCAAAAGACATTTGTGTGTTAGACCATTAAAAAGATACATAAAAATTGTGTCAAAAATGCGATGCAAAGTTTATTATCTTAAGCTTAACCCTAAAAAATTACAAACAGATCTTTGTAATGATTTATAATGATTCTTTTAAGAATTTAACGAAAAATTATAATATAAATCGTTATTCCACGTACTCCGTTAAAAAAGCGACCATTGTAGAACGAGTAACAAGAACAAAATATTCAGTCTATGCGGACGATATCAATGGCTCCAAAATAATTTAGATTTTTTGGTACAGCGGTATAATAATGCTTCCAAACAAAATTCAAACTTATTAACGTTAATAATTCAAATGCGATTTTAGTTATGTCAAACATCAAGAAATCTCAAAGCCTAAGATACGCTAAGGATCAACGTTTTGATTTAGCGATTACGTTCGTATAAGCAAATACAAAGGAGATTTTATTAAGCTTATACCCCTAATTGGTCCACAGAAATATTTCGTATTGTTAAAGTCAACCAAACCAATCCTCAAACTTATCAAATAGAAGAAAATAACAATCAAAATATTCTAGGCTCTTTTTACGGTTGCGAATTATAAAAAAACTGAATTTCCAGACTTTTATCTTATTGAAAAAGTTATTAAATGAAAAGAAAATAGCTTTTAGTAAAATGGTGGAGTGATGAAGAAAATAGTTGGGTGGATAAAAATGAATTAGTAGTGTAGGTATAATAATAACACATTATTACCTTATTATCTCATTTTATGCTTATCGATGAGTGAATGCAGTGGTATAATTAATAACGTAATAGATAATTTACCGTTTGAGTTACATTTACTCGTCTATTTATTTTGGTGCCCCGGAACGAAACTTCAAAAACGGTCACTCAACGGAATTCACATAGATAAAATATTTGCCTTTCCTGACTCAAAAATTGCTCTAAGTTGGGTTCATCCTTCACTCCATCGTTGGGATACTTTCGTCGTAAACCGAGTGGCCAAGATCCAAGACGAGTTAGAATAGCAGAATTTCTATCATGTGCCCGACGCAGAAAGTCCTGCCGATTGTTTATCTCGTGGACTTACTCCGTTAAAAATCGTAGATCACACGCTTTGGTTTCACGGACCTTCTTGGATTCAGTAAGAACCCCCGCAGTGTCCCATAGCTGAATTTGACCCTTCATCAGTATCCCAACCCCCGAAAGAGAAAAGGCACTATCTGGTTGTGAGTACTTCCAGTGAGGTTTCTCCAATCATTGCTTTAGCGAGCCGTTTCTATTCCTGGTCGAAATTATTGCGTAGCGTGATTGGTTTGCCGATTTGTAAACCTTTTACCGTGACGTCCATATATTACTGCCGAGTTATTAGTATTTCGTGAACTTCAACGTTTGCACTTTCAAGCTTTACAATCAGGCAAGATTTGTGGTCGCACTTTTCAACGCCTAAAACCATTTTTACAGAATGGGATTATTAGAATGGGTGGGCGCTTATCCAACTCACATTTAAGTTTCGATCAAAGACACCCTATAGTTTTACTGCGTAAAGATCATATTTTGAATTTATTAGTTGATTATCACCCCAAATTGAATTGTCACCATGGCCCTGAATTGTTGGTGTCTATTTTGCGTTAGAATTACTGAATTCTTTCTGCACGCAACTTAATTTGCAATCGGGTGCACAGGTGTTTCGCTTATTTTTGAGTTCGTCCTAGGCCGTCATTCCCGGAAACGGCATACCTTAGGTCTTGTCGTGTAACACAATCTGTAAATCCTTTTATGCACACCGGGTCAGACTTTGCTGGCCCGTTTAAGGTCACGCTTACTCGTGGGCGTGGTATAAGATCCACGAAGGCGTATGTTTTTACTTTTGTGTGTTTGACTACTCGCGCTGTGCTGTATATAGAACTCGCTGGTGACCTAAGCGCTTTTAGCTTCATGGGCGCAACAGCCCGTAGGCATAGTTGTTGCCCATAAATTACATTCAAATTGGGATAATTTCAAATAAAAGTAGATGAATTTGTATTATGTATTTTCAAAAATTGTAATAACGGTATATCATATATAAATATGTGTGTGTATACCGAAATACGAGGGTCCTCCAGGCAAATCTTCACCATGCAGGAGCTACTTATGTCGTGGTGGAGGTTTGCTTTGCAAAGGACAACATTGACTTCGCCCTCATACAAAATCCTTGGGTCAACCATTGGGATTGTCTGCTGCTGGTAAGATCTTAGTAAATACTAAAGGCAGTAGACACAGAGTTTGGATAATTTACAATAAAACATTGAACTTTTAGCTGTTCCAGTACTGCAATGATGACCTGGTTACAGCCTTCATAAATCTTAATAGATCGGCACAGGGATTAGCATAGGGGTCAGAGTAATCTTTTGCTCAGCCTACCCTTCCGGAGAGAACTCAGATCTTACCATTGAGTTAGAGCAAGTGGCGGAGTTCGCCCGTAAACACAACGCCGAACTTGTGGTGGGTTATGATGCTGATGCTCACCACACAGCCTGTTAAAGCACTAATGGTAACGAAAAAGGTGAGTTAATTTATGATTTTCTCATTTCCAACCGCCTGGCAAGCCCAAACTTAGGGTGTACACCAACCTTTGTTACGCATGCTGGGAAAGAAGTGTTAGATACACTCTTTGCTACCAATAAGAAGTCCAGGTGGATAAATGAATGGCATGATAATAGTGAAACTGGATATCTGATCACAAACACATTAAGTTTGTGATTGGAGCATCACCAACCTATGAAACTGTTTTGCTTTTATGGATCCAAAAACGACCTTCTGGGATATCCACAGAGATAGACTAAGGATGAATTTGAAAACGTTTCCTAAAAGCATCAAAACGATTGAAATTCTGGAGTTAATGACGGAGGCAGTAACCGTAGGTATTTTTAAAGCCTTAGAGGACCGTTGTCCCGTCAAAACCAAGACCTCAACACGAAAAGTTCCTTGGTCGAATGCTAAGCAAAAAGAACTTAGGAAAAAGACTATTATTTAATAGGGCTAAGAAAACCAAAGAGTGGGATATTTATAGTGCAGCCCTAACTGAATATAATAAAGAAATTAGGAAAGTTAAGAGAGCATCGTGGAGGAAACTATGCGAGAAATTTGAGTCTTTGCCTGGCAGTGCAAGACTACACAAAATGCTATCGTAAGCTAAGCCTAATCAGATCGGGCTTCTTAAAAAGCCTGATGGTAACTTCACTAATAGTGAAACAGAAACACTGGAGTTACTAGCGTCAACCCATTTTCCAGGGTCACACAAGACTTCAGCTTTGAATTATTTCAGAGCCCTACGAAGGCCTTGTAATGGGGACTGGTGTAGAGTTACAAAGATAATTAGGCTAAAACTTGTGCAGTGGGCTGTTGACTCTTTTAAACCATTTAAAACAAGCGGGGAAGATGGAATAATTCCCATCCAACTACAGAGGGGTATCAAAATCCTTCTTTCCTATCTGCTGAAAATCTTCAGAGCAACTTTTGCATGGGGATATATTTCAGAACGATGGACAATTGTGAAATTTCTATTTATACTTAAGGCTGGTAGAAAGGACTACGCTTCCCCAAAGTCCTTTAGACCTATAAGATTATCTTCCTTTCTCCTTAAGACATTGGAAAAGGTTATAGATAGATATATAAGGGATGTAGCTCTAGCTACGAGGCCCATACATTAAAACCAGCATGCTTACCGCAGAGGCTAATCTACGAAAACAGCCCTGATCATGCCTCTGAGCCCCGATGAGTGTCATTGAAAGGGTCGAAAAAGCGCTGGAGGATAAAGAAAAAGCTCTTTGTGCCTTTCTTTTTTTTTCTTTTTAAAAACGTTACCCCTACACTAAGATTTTCTCTTGTATCGTGGGGGCAGTTTACAAACATAAATTGCACAAGGACAAACATCCAGACCCAGAACAACTATTTGTAAGCCATACAAATACTTGATCCGTGCGGGATTCAAACCCGCGACTACCAGCGCAGGCACTCAATGCTTAGCTACTGCGCCACGAAGTCGTTTAATTCTTAGTCGGAGAAGTTTCTAGATATTGAGGGCGCCTTTGACAGTAGCCCCACATCGCCCCTGATTTGGGTCCTGACATCTAAAAATGTTGATCCCACAACCATCAGATGGGTGTAGTGGATGCTTTCAAACAGAAAGGCAAAAATAGCGCTGTTTCAAACTTTGATTGAGGTTGCAACTACATGAGGCTGGCCACAAGGAGCTGTTTTGTCACCCACGTTCTTTAAACTCTTGCAGTTGACCAACTATTGTACAAAATGGCAGACCTACGCATTGACATACTAGGTTATGTTGACGACCTTGTGATCATTGAGAGGGGCCCTTTGCCAAAGTGCTTTATCGTCAATCATACAAAGAACCCTAAACACTATAAATAACTGGTGTATAGATAACAGTTTCTCAGTTTAGTTAATGCTGACAAAACTGTTATAATACCCTTTACCAAAAAGTGACGGTTGGACAAATTAGTCCCACCGAAACTTAATGGTAAAGAAGACCATTTTCCACTGAAGTTAAGTACTTGGGCGTAACAATCGACCAAAAACTAACATGGAACTCTCACCTTATCAATAAGCCATAAGGCAAAATTTTCTTTAGGTACGTGCAGTCGTTTGTTCGGGAACAACTGGGGCTTGTGTCCCAGTATGGTCCTATGGCTGTACAGCAGTATAGTGAGGCCGATTCTCACCTGCACCTCTATTGTCTGGTATAACAAGGCCAACCAAAAGACGACTGCAGACAAACTAAATAGTCTACAAAGGACTGCCTGCTTAATGACAACTCGGTCTATGCAATCATCGCCTGGAGCGGCTCTTAATGCACTTCTATGCCTAAAGCCCCTTGATCTTTATCTAGACAAGGAGGCGAGAGCTAGTTTGTATAGAATTAACGCCCAGGGCGGTATGAGCTTGCTCTCCTACAGATTAAGATCCATACTCGACTCAATTAAGGAAACACCGGTCTTATGCATGGTCTCAGATATCATACGTCCACTACACACGTTTGATAAAAAGTATATATAAGGGAATTACCCTCCAGAGAAAACTGGCTGAATGGCCAGGTTATCTGTGAGGTTGGTAGCCTCATATGATATACCGATGGGTCTAAAATGGGCCTCCACGTAGGCTTCGGAATTTACGGGGAACGCCCTAAATTCAGACTTAGTACGAATTTGGGTAGATCTCTATCTTTTAGGCAGAAATTCACGCCTTTGCACATCCAAACTGATTGCGGACCCTTAATGCGCAAACGTAACACTCATCTGGGAAACTATGTACTCCGCACAGAAGTGAAATTACTCACGGCTAAACCACCCCTTCTATTTATTGAAGACATAGCAGTGAACTATAGCCATAGCAGCGATCACAATAGATCTTTTAGGGATACTGGTCTCTTTCCTTAGACCTGCACAGCTGCTCGCACATAATTAAAAAAATACACTAGAAATCAAAAAAACTATTATTTCAAAAAGCCATCTATTAAACAATGATGATAACATTGTGTGACCGCCTACATAACAAATAAGTTTAAGGCGCTACTCCTAGCGAACGACCTAGAACGTTAGAGCCCATGCGCTCTTGCTACAATAAATCGCGTAAGAAATGCGCCCAAATTTTTGGAATTATTTCAATTAAAAATGAAAATAGAACTTAAGAAATTAACAAAAAACGTGAGTAATATAGATAGGATTACACTAATGGATAGATAAATTATCTATCCATTAGTGTAATCCTCAAATGATTAGAGCGCTGCCTTTAGCAACAGATGCATGTAATCAATAATTTTAATCATTTTTCAAAAGTTGATTATAACACATAAAAACAAATTAGAACGTGGAATATGATGCTAGGATATCAAACAATAATAATGTGCTTTTAAATTTAGTTTATTTCTCATAACTAATGAGACAATAATCTCTGAAAAACGCACTATCGCAAGGTTTTGGTCGTGGTATCGCCTTAACTCAGTATCTCAACTAGCGACATCTGATGAGCGTAAGTTTATTAACCCTCACTGTCACATGGTGTGTGGTGACATTGTAAGAGAACCGATTAATCCATATCATCATATGAGGTGTCTATTGGACCAGGTGTAAAATACCAAAACCTAAAAACCCAGAGTAGAAGGCTAGAATACGGACTTCTATTTGCCATTTAGACACCTCTCTCACATTTTTCACATCCATATACTCGTATCTACGCATACATGCTTGTCAGTTTAAGGGTACTCTTAATTTGGCCCATTTAATACATTGCTAATTTGATAGATAGTCTGTCCTTATAGGACGTCTCTTGCCGACTCTGTCACTGCTTCTGTAGCATCAATTTGCTATGTCACTCTTTCTTTATTAATTCTTATGCTTTTCTGCCACACCAATTTTCAACTACCACACATTAAGGTGAATTTTTTGACACATTCTGATTTAAGTGCCCCATTCACTCTGTGTCCTGAATTCACTAATCGTCTTACATATATCCTTTTCGTGTCCATCGTTCCTGCTAGATATGGCATAAATTAGTATTTCAATAAAGCACAGAAGAAGAAGTAGAAGAAACAGAAGGATTTGACTCGACTAACCTTGGACGGAAATCGCCTATGTATAAAATAGTTTTATTTGTGGTCTTGAAGAGAAACATGGTAGATCCCAAGCAGTGCTCTGCAGGAATCAGTGTCACCTCTAAAGACATTTCCTCCAAATCTTCTTCCTCGGAAAGTGCCCGGAAACTGGAAAGTATTATCTGATTGGATCCTGAAAGAGATTCATTATCACTTTACGAAATACGGGATTAATAGTCTTGTTCACTAAAAAAAAGTAAACGTTGCCACGTTAGCCTAGTGGTCATAAACGTGAAATATCCTGCTGTCCATCTCCAGTTCAGTTCAGTTTCCCTCTTTCGCCTTGAGAGGCCACGGCGACACCCACGGGAGAATATGAGGAAGATGGATAGATAACACTTTATTGCACGCTAAAAAACAAAAAGAAACAAAACATAAATAACAAAAAAGAAAGAAAGAAATGTGGTACAATGGGTGGTCTTATCGCTAAGAGCGATTTCTTCCGGACAACCTTTAGATGGACAAGATTGCAAGAAAACAACAATAATATATGCGTGGTTTGGCGACAATAATATTATTATTTTGATTATAAACTACTAGCTGTTACCCGCGGCTTCGCCCGCATGGTTACTGGGAAATGAACTATCCATTGCTTTTTGAATTGAAAGAAAACTTAGTTTTATAGATTTGTCAGAGATGCAGCCATTAAAAGGAAACTGAGCAAAATTTATTCGTCAGCCTATTTAAATGTTTTGAAACGCAGCGTATAGGAAAGCATGAAAATAGCCTGTTTATTCCAAATGGAAATGGGATATTTTTTTAATTAAAGGAAACTGAGCATAATTATCCGTCAGAGATGCAGACTTTTGAAAAGAAACTGAGCTAAATTGATTCGTCAGAGATGCAGTTTTCTGAATTGAAAGGAAACTGAGCCAAATAAAAGATCCGTCAGAGATGCAGCCTTTTGAGTTGAAAGGAAACTGAGCTTAATAGGTCCGTCAGAGGTGCAGCATTTGGAATTGAAAAGAAAGTGAGCTAAATAGGAAATTTTGAATTGAAGGGGAAGATGTGTGGGAATTCTTATTAATTGATTGTGGGAATTTTGGAAAAAAAACTAACTGAACACTATTTTAAGACGCTACTGTACACAATGTTATATGTTTTTCCATTCGGGGAAAGAATGTGGAGATTCTGGGCATTTGACACACGCGAACATGCTACATACAGCTGACCATGAGAGAAGCACGGTTTTTCTAAGTTGACCCCGCTACCTGTAACGTTTGCCCTTGCGCTTTATTGTCATTGCAAAACTGAGCTTAATAGGGAACTGCAACCTTTTGAATTCAAAAGGAAGATCTGTGGGAATTATAGGGATCAGTGGTAAAATAACATTTTCACCTTTTCCTACGCCTGTCAAAATTGTAGCACCGATTATGTTCCGTCCAAGAGGTGTTACACGTAGCCTCGTCCCGTTACATAACCGAGAAGCATCTAAATTTCGCATTAGCATGACTGGGGCGCCTAATTTTAATTGAAACTTATGTGAGGGCACGCCTGACAACTCTAGAGAATTTAGAAACTCTTCGGGATATGAAGTGCTCTATCTGTGTCCATAACTGTGTCTACTGACAAATACTCTGTTATTTCTCCTGCTACTTTGCTTAATATATCTGAATTTATTTTGTTAACGCTCTCATTTTTTGGTGCAAGAATCGCCCTTTCACATAACCATTTGTCTTCATGCTCAATCTGATCATGTTAAATCTGAATAAACGCTCGCAATTAATTCGGAATGAGACCGTACTAAATTACAAAAATCTCTCGTCAATTTAACGCAGCCCTCAGCATCCGTTTCCAACCGCCCATCGCCAATTTTTAATAGTGTGTCAGCATAGTTTCCAGCATTGATATTGTGACGGCCCAATATTATTATTAATAATTAAATTCAATATAAAGGGGCGTCAAAAATAGTCTTAAAAGATATATATTAAGCAATTAAGTTAAATTAATAAACATAAAGTTAATATATTTCAGACATTATCCCAATAACATAGTAAATTAAAGGCAAAAAATTATTGTTTTTCGTAATAAATAAATTTATTTAAAAGCTTGAAAAAAAATATTTAAAATAAGATAAATAATTGAAATACAAGTCAAAAAATATTATAAAATTAAGTTAAATAACGTTTATAAGATAATTAGAAAATTTGTTAAAAATTGTTTAAGTCATGGGAGGTGTTCATGTATAGATGTCTTGTATGGAGGAGCTGCCGGAGATACATTCCTGCAGTTGTACATATATATGGGGTGGTCGGGAGCCCGACTGCCTGAAGTACTGTAGCACAATGACTAGTCCTATATTAGGGACTTATGATATCAAACTCAATGATATAAAAGCAATACTAAAGAAGGTCTCCATGATGAATTTGCATTACAATAGTAGGGTCGTGGGTTCGAACCCTATATATTAATGACTTATGAAAATAAGGTCTATGATCCAAAAGCAATACTATAGAAGGTCTCTATGATTAATATGCATTACAATAGTAGGGTCGTGGGTTCGAATCCTATATATACATGACTTATGAAAGTAAGGTCTATGATACAAAAACAATATTATAGGAGGTCTCCTTGATGCATAAGCATTGTATGGGGTGGTCGGGTGACTGACTGCTCCTAGTACTGTAGCAAAATGACTAGTCCTTATTAGGGACTTGAAAAGGAATATTATGGTGGCGTGTGTGCTGCTTCACGAGCAATTGGTCCGAGGTAAACTTGGACTCGCTAACCGATGTGTCCTAGACATATCGTCTTAGTGCCGGTGGTAAGCGGGTTTGTTGTAGCAATACGGCTTTCCCGTGGACATCGCACACCCATAACGTTTGTGGGCGACGTCGTTGCGCATAGCGATGTGTCGTCTATATTTCGGATTGGGATGATGAGTGTGTTTGGTAGCACTTTTAAGTGTAGCAGGCATACTCAACTTCATGTCTTAGTGCATTAACGCTATGATACGAGAGTTTTGTTCATTGGCGTCTTAGTAGCGTTCTACTATGATACGTTGGTGATTTTTTTTTATATAACAACAATAAAAACTTTCTTGCCAAAATCGATAGGAGTCATGTGGGTGTGTTGTGAGGGGGCGCCACCCGTATGATAGTTGCATTGATGCTTACTGCTACTTGCGGTATTGCGTCTTGTGATGGATCTGCGGGTGTGCTGCGCCTGATTCGACGCTCTCTTGTGGTTCTGGTCGATGGAGGTATGCGGGTGGTGATGTCTGCTGGGATGTATGGGGGACCTTCGGATGGTGTAAGCCCGACGATAGTCGTATTGATGCTTGTTGCGTTCTGCAGAATTGCGTCTCTGCGATGGTTGTTTGGTGGGATGCTCTTCTCAATGGAGCTCTCTGCGTCTTGGTTTGACTCACACCTAAGTAGCTTTGCCCAAGTCGGGTCCCTTCATTGCGGGGCTGCAGACTGTCTGCCCTCCACGATGTTTTATATAACAACATAATATTATATCTCTGTAACTTTCCCACCTTTGAATGATTGAAGGCAACTTGTCGGTGGGTGAGACAAACATGATCGAAAATGTATTTACTCAACGTCAGTGACACAAACCCTTTCTGATGGCGAATTATTACTCTTATCTTATAACTGCCTTTTGGCTATATCTGCCGTTGTATTGGTTGGTGGAGTATATGTGTCGACCTCATGCGGGTGGTAGCTGGCGGGAGGATCTGAGGAGACTCTCAAGGCTGCGGCCGAAAGCCGCACAATGTGCTCTGCGGCTAGTAGCCGTGCTGATCATGCAATTGGTGGTTATGCCATACACTTACATCACATCTGCAGGAGCGGCGGTCTGTCTTCGTGAACGGGGTTCCCTTAGCTTATAAGGCACTACCAACAGCTTTTAAATGCTCTAGTGAATATTCATTCTTCCAAAGGACACCTAAAAGAACTAAGTTACTAAACAAACACAACGTAAATAAGGGTCCTAGCTAAGACGATCACGCCAAAATATTACAAACGGCCTATTATTATCAACCTTTAGAAAGATCATTTAGAAAGATCTAAACATAATTTATTAATCCTGGTCACATATATATAATTTTTAATATAAAGGGTAGTATAATACATTTAGTATTTTATATATTTATTACTATGAGAGGGGGGGGAAGTGTTACAATATCATTATACAAATGCACTCTCATATTCGTAGTTAAACTGAATTTTGTCACCTTGTTCCATAAAATAGACGACTTGAGGCATGCTTTAATTTCATCTGCAGGTGTGCCCTTTTGAATGACAGGTAAAGTTTGGCGAAAGTCACCAGCCAGTAAAACCACCATTCCTCCCATTACATCGGTATTGCTGCGCAAATCCTGGAACGTTCGATTTAGTGCTTCTACAACTTTTTATGCGACATTGTACTTTCGTCCCACACTAAAAGTTTGCATTGTCGTAGCATTATACCTCGTACACTATTTTTGCTAAAGGTGCAGATCGGCGATTCTTCCTGGGCTAGATTTAGAGGGAGTTTTAATGTGTGGCGGCTATACCGGAGGAAGCTACGGCCACAGCAATGTTTTTATCTTTTCGTACTTGCGCTAATAATAAATTTAACAAAAATGTCTTCCCAGTTCCTCCAGGGGCATTTAAAAAGAAAAGTGCACCATTTCCAGATTCAATTTGTCCTAATACATTGTCAAAAACTCGTTTTTGTTCGGGAAGCAAGCGGGGTACAAGTTCGGCTATTTGCTGCTGCAAAGCTGGTATATTGTTGTTTGTTTCACGTATAATTTTATCACTTAGTTCATTTTCGGTTCTTCGCTGAGGGCTTATCGTTCCAAAGTCGCTTAATTTTTTTGCCTACCATTGCCATTACTTTATCTTCAATTTTTCCAAGTGCTTCATTACAAATGTGTTCATTGTATGTCATGTTCGCGCGTGCCTGCTGTAATCTTCGCAAAATATCTTCCGCCATGTACTCTTTATATTTGTCCCATAATTCATGTGCATAAGATAGCCCACAAGATGATATGAGAGTTGCATAAAGATCCCTAATTTTGGCTGGTGACTGGCACTGCCAAGCTTCCTCCATGGTTTCAACCCAATGATTACCGTTA